GAGTGTCGATGAAGAGAATCGATCAATGTAGATAGGACCTATTGAAAAGTGACACGAGATTTGTTTTCCGTACTGAGCAGCGTTGCCGGATTGTTTTCATGCTTATCGGTATCAAATGTTTAAAAAAATCGGTATTTATCGGTATTTACACAAATTCAAACTTTTGGACTAAGAACGGAATATTTACTCTCCATAAGATGTCCAAACAAATTACCGGGGATTTTTTTAATTAACTTCTGAAGGAAGTCGATTGAAGAATCAAAGTGATGATAGACTCACAGATGGCCAGTGGGTGAAAATGGTAATGTCGTTTTGATTTGTGTCAAATGGCATGATTTTTTTTAGTACATCATCATTTTTGTAATTGCGTATCTTAAAACTAGGTGTCGCATGACCAGTTTTAGCTTTGCTTTGACTCGCCAATAAAACTTCCAAAGAAAAAATAAAGTAGGTTTTCTGGAGGAAGTTTGAAGAAAGTTCTTTGAAAAGTCGGAAACACATCCAAGGAACTTCCAAGATGATTATTGAAGAACTTCTGGTGAAAATTTAACGAACCATTCGGAAAAAAATCCAGAGGAAGCTACAAAAGCTTCGGAAATCCAAAGTAAATTCCAGGAGTAGTTATTTCCAGGGGATGAGAGAAGACTCTCGGATAAACCTTCCAATAGGAGTTGTAAAAACCAACAGGGAATCGCTTATGGAGAAACTTCCAGAGGAAGACGACAGAAATTTCTAGGAGAATTCAATTGAGAAGACGGAAGAAAATTCTTGTAGACGCTGGAAGGTAGATTGGAAGAAACTTGTGGAGTAAGTCGGATGCCAGAGGGCCTACGGAACAATCGTAAGAAACTTAAAGGAGAAGTTGGGGAAACATTCCGGAAGATAGAGATTTCTGAGGGCTACTAGCACAACACTCCCTGAAGTATCTTACATGTTCTAATGATCCAGCAGTTCTTCTGTTAGCCATAAAATATCCCTGAAGACCACACAATGTCTCTGAAGTTTTCGAAAGATTCCTGAAATGCACTTCCATAATTCCTCGCAACTCCTTAAAAGTTCTTGCAATTTTCCTGAAGTTAGGGGGTTGTTTAGAAGTTCTCTAATCATTCTCGAAGTATTCGGAGCTTCAATAAAACTACGGTGAAATATAAAATTTTCTTTGAAGGTCTTTGGTCTTTCTTGATGATTTCGGAACTGCCCTAGGAGCATACTGCAAAGAACTTTTATGTGAGTTTCTGCCACAGCTTTGTGCTGCTTGGGTTCTTAAGTGCACTCACAATTTTCATGACATTATTGGAACATCAGCATTGAAAATCTCTGATCTTCCTGATTATTTTTAATTTAGAAAAGTGCTTCAAACTGCCATTACAAGCACGGATCTTCCTTAAATTGTTTTCTCCATTACATGAGTTATTAATGTTACTTACCTTACGTTTCCAAAATTTTCAGGAACCTTTTGGAACTTTGCTGAAGTTTTCGGAAATTCCTTGAGTTTCTTGGAAGTCCTTTAAAGTTTCAGTAATAATTTTGAAATTTATTGATCTTTACTGATGTTCTTTGAGCTTTCCTAAATTTTTCTCAATTCACCTGAAACGAATGGAACTGTGAAAACCATTCAATCTCCTTGAAGTTCTTTGGACATGTGAAGTTTCCAAAATATGTATGATGTTTCCTCAAGTTAACTGGAGTTCTCTAGACATTTTTGAAATGTCCGATTTCTTGAATTTTAACAGAACCTAATGGAACTGTCTTTAATTTATAGAAACTTGCCCTTACAGATCTTTAAACTTACTCAAAAATTTAGACATTTCTGAAGTTTCAGAACTTATTAAAAGTTCCTGTAGATTTCCTAAAGCTAAATTGAAATAAAGCTCTGGAAGCATCCCTGATGTTCCGGGGAAGTTGAAAAAAAAAACTGACAAGAGAAGACGGGAGATATTAAAAAAAAAAATGAACGTCTCTCACAATAGTTTCTCCTGACAGTTAAGCATGGGTAGGCAATACACATGATTATTTAAAAATATCGGTATAAATCGGTATAAAAAGTCAAAAATCGGTATTATGAGAAACCTTATCTGTATATCGGTATCATGTTTGCAAATCGGTATAAATACCGATAAATCGGTATATCTGGCAACGCTGGTACTGAGCTCCAATGCTACCAATGACGTTTATATAAGGTCTGGACCAAAGGGCTTATTGGTGTTAGTGAAATGTGCAAATGTTTAGTGGTGTTCGTATTTTATTGCAATGTTTATCTTTTTACACGAAACAGCTGTTGGCAGTGACGTATTTCTATCTGTTCTCAGTATGTTGGCAGTGACGTATATCTAAATGTTCGCAGATGTTCAGCAATGTTTACAACATTTTTGCTTCTAACAACATTGCACATTCCCATACAAGCTTAGAATCACATGTTGCTGATTTCAAAGCATTTAGTGCTGCTTGGCTATCAGACATAATGCAGATATTCGAATGTCTATCATTTTTACGCATGCAAATTTTAGAACATTCAAGAATTGCTTGGACTTCTGCTTGGAACACGGTAGGCCATAGATATTGAGATATTTAGTCCTGGACCTGTTACCCCTGCTCCTACACGATTATCCAATCTAGAGCCGTCTGTATATTTTTTCCACAACATTTGTAGATCTGTCATCAGTATGAATTCGTGATAACCACTAGAAAATCTGGCACATCCGTAAAATAGTCAATTCATAAAACTAGGTTCAGGACTTCTATGAAGCTTCTGTTACCGGCGTATTATAAGTAAGATGATCAAGGCATTCCAAATAGTGATGGTGAATAAGCAAGGAATTCCCTCACTACGCGGCGCTAGTGTACATGCGAACTTTTGCATCTATAAGCTATATCTTGAAATCCTCACCATCTACACACTTAGATTTTTTTGCCGAGATGGGCACCACCGAGCAGTTCGGCATTTTATTTTGCTGGAAATTCAGCAGAAAATATGTTTGTTAGCTGAGATCTCGGCAAAATTCCCGTTTGTTAGCTGAATCTCGGCAAGTTTATCACTGAGATCCAGCAAAATAAAATGCCGACCTGCTCGGTGGTGCCCATCTCGGCGAAAAAATCTAAGTGTGTACGAAAAAAAATCGTGAATTCTACACGTGAGAGAATTCTGAACTACATAACCCACAAATTTGAAGACATTGATCACTTGAACAACTTTCCCGAAGACGGAATCATTCTAAATAGTAAAGATCTCAAGATATATTTTATACAGGAAATTGACTTACACACTAGCGGTGCATAGTGAGAAATTTCTGTACTACTGTTGTCTATCCACCTTGACCTACTGTACAATTTTTCCGGAGACAGTAACCTTACCCCTAGGGGTGGCCAATCTTACCCCGCATGATCTAATGATCAACAATTTAATGATTTTAGCAAATTTATCGCGGAAATTTTATTCAGTTCTGGTTAAATTTTACTTCAAGCTTAGGGGGCCTTCTTACCCCGTCATCCCCTGCTCTATGAACATAAACAATATTTTTGATTTGAAATATACAATATGAAAATTCAAAACGGGGGTGATCGCTACCCGCGTCTTGTCACTATTCACTACACAGTTCGAAAAAGTAGTGTAAATTTCTGTCACTATGATGCACATAAATGGAGCGTCACATATCATACAAATTCACATAACAGATCGTGTAAATTTATGAGTCATTTAATGAAATATTCTAAATATTGTATGCAGCTATCCTTCTTTGTAAGCAATATTTCTTGCAAGTTGCAAGTTTACGTGAAAAGGAAGTTTGCATGGATATTTACATCACCATTAAAATTCATAATTTTTTGGTGTGTAGGCATAAAAAGTAACAAGGACTAAAATGTGTTCCATTGATTACTAAAAAATCCTGTTCCCCTAGTTTGAAATTTTTAGAACTAGGGTTCGAAGATCTACCAGATCTAGACGCACCACAAAAAGGTGGTCTACTAGTCCGGTTTGTGGTAGATCTTGCACAGAAAGTTTTCCATTGATTTGAGATAAAAGATGTTCAGGATGTAGTCAATTTTTGATGTGCATTGGCAAGCCTTTCCGTGGCCAATAATCAGGTTCAGCGTCTGCGACTCAACGATGAGACGAACTATGGGACGTCGAAGGCCCTATGTTGGTTCCACTTATCAGCAGCAAATAACAAAGACGTATAACTACATGATCTTGATTATACTGATTATAGAAAGAAAAAAACCGAGGGGGGTGACTCTATCTACGATGCAACAAAGATTGTTTTTGCTATGGCTAGCTGTGCGCACGCTCAATAGATAGAAAGAAAGTTGACGACGATTCTGAAGCTTTCCTGCAAAAAGATTATGCACGAGGCAAGTAGATGCGACAAATTAGAGAAGATTGATTCGCTAGTGTGTGATTTTTTGAGCATCTATAGAATTGAGATTTAGATGTGTCGCCCCCCTCGAAAAAAAAACTCCACTAAAAAAAAACAAAAGTCACGTTCGATCACACTACACTCTCAAAAAAAAAGTTCAATAACGTATTACCAAAAAAGTGAAAATGAAATCTGCAACCATACACTGAATTGACTGAATTTAAAATTTTTCTCTGTAAGATCATTCAAGTGCACAAGTATCGGCTTCCCCGACATGTAACACAATGAAACTGTTACTTCACGTATGCTGTACTGCAGCATACATCAAGTAGAAATATCAGGAATTCATTTCCAAGATTTGTGTAATTGAAAATTCGAAGTGGAAGTGCATGTATAGTCTACGTGGCGGCCATATGTGGACTCTACAAGGAATCACTTTAAACTCAGCATTCAACGGAAATCTATCACTCCAAAGGATAGGGTTAATCATCAGTTTGAGTCAAAGTTGTGTTTCAAAAATATTCATTCTGGGATATCAAAAGAAAAGCACGATCGTTGCCAACGTCGCCAAGTGACCAATGTTCGGCGGTTTTCCCGCTCTTTTCTTGGCCATTTACCAAAGTCAATTTTACTTTCTCTTTTCAGTGCGCGCACACCGCCATCTCACCCGAATTGCGCTTTTCATTGACTATTTAATTCCACACAGAACGCAGAAACATGACAAACCACACTAGATACTGACATACACAACCATCGCCAGCCACGCTCTAATCCGATCTCTTTGTCACGCTGGGCACCGCCGCTCGCATCACAGAAAAGGTTCATTCACTCATCTACATCGTTCTCTCGCTCAACCAGATCGCAAACTAGTTTCGGTGACAGTCACAGTAATCAACTTTATTACGTTTCCTTTCGTCAACGTCTTTGTGGATTTTAGCAAGCAAATGGCATTGCCCTCACTGTTGCCATTCCAAACGTTCCCATCCGGGAGAAGTGGGGCAAGGGGGTGGAGTTCATGCTGTCCTGCATTGCCTATTCGGTGGGATTTGGGAACATCTGGAAGTTCCCCTACACGGCACTGGAGAATGGTGGAGGTGCCTTCCTGATCCCGTACCTGGTAGTGCTGTTCCTGATCGGTCGGCCGATCTACTACCTGGAGATGGTGATGGGACAGTTTTGCAGCCGGGGGTGTGTCAAAATTTATGACATGGCACCGATCATGCGGGGTGAGTTACTTTGCGATAACGTGGATGAGTTCTCGTGAGCAATTTGAGTTATTGCAGGTGTTGGTGTCGGGCAATCGTTGGCCATGTTTGTCGTGATGACCTACTACACGCCGGTGCTAGCGATTACGCTGTACTATCTGGTGTCATCGTTCAGCAGTGAACTGCCGTGGAGCAAATGCGATCCTTCGTGGAGTCGGTGTATCGATTCAAAGGATCGAGAGTTTCATAACACAAATGGTTCGCAGTCGCTGCACATGAACGTCTCGGCGGAGTTGTTCTTTACGTGAGCACGGAAAATGCCATGGATAAAAGTTTAAAAAATTTTAATCTTCCAATACTTGTGTCCCTTTTCCAGCAAAACCGTCATGCACCGTGCCCCGCTGGCTCAGGGTCTCGGCATGCCGGACATGAACCTGACCCTCTGTCTCCTGGCCTCCTGGTTGGTAGTAGCCGTCATACTGATCAAAGGCATTCGCAGCACTGGCAAGTGTGCCTACTTTCTGGCCATCTTCCCGTACGTCATCATCCTGATCCTGTTCATCCACGCGTGCACCCTGGAGGGCGCCAGCAAAGGGATCCTGTTCTTCCTCACTCCCGACTGGAGCAAGCTGTTTGATCCACGCGTCTGGATGGAAGCCGTCACGCAGTGCTTTTTCTCCTTGTCGATCTGCTTCGGTGGAATCATCGCCTATTCGTCGTTCAACAACTTCTCCAACAATGTTTACCGGTAAGATCTGTGACATTGGTTCTGGCACACAAATTGATTGCGATCTTCTAACAGGGATGCCATGATCATCTCCTGGCTGGACACTTTCACCTCGATCATCGTAGGCTGCATCGTGTTTGGTGTACTCGGGAACTTAGCGCACGTGACCCATAAAGAGGATATCCAGGACGTAGTCCGACATGGGCCCGGGTTGACCTTTATGGCCTATCCCGATGCTATCGCCAAGTTTGAGTTCTTTCCGCAGCTGTTTTCGGTGCTGTTCTTCTTGATGTTGTTCATCGTGGGAATTGGAAGCAACTTGGGGGTGGTGACCAGTATCATAACGTCCATTCGCGATCGTTGCCCTACGCTGGAAAACTGGAAAGTCGCCAGCTTGGTTAGCGTGGTTGGATTCAGCCTGAGCACGATCTACATGGCCCCGGGAGGTCTGGACCTATTGGACGTATTCGATAACTACGGAGCAAAGTATGTGACGCTGACTCTTGCCTTGTTCGAGCTGATCACGTTCGGATGGATCTACGGAGTGGACCGCATTTGTCGGGACATTAAGTTCATGTTGAACATTGAAACGGGGAAATTTTGGAGAATCTGCTGGGGAATCTTGACTCCACTGGTGGTGGCAGTTATCTTGGTTGGTTGTATGGTTCAGCATCAGCCGGTGGCCGTTCCGAAGGAGTACAATCGTGAGTATTCTACAGTGCTTGATGACATATTGTAAACCAAAATTAATCTTTATAGTTGTCGGGTGGTGTGTGTATCTCTTGGCGGTGATTCAGTTGCCGCTTTGGGCAATCTACGCCATTGGTACCCAGAAGAAAACTGGACTCCTTAACAAGGTAAGGAATGCCTTCAAACCGACCAAGAGCTGGGGACCGGAGAATTATCATACGAGAGAATCGTATAACTTGTATATGGAAAAAGTGAGAGCATCTTCAGATGCGGCTGATGAATCAAATGTTGTGAAGATTGTGTATAGAAGGATTTTCAAATAGTGATAGATTTGTTTTGTAAACAACATCCTAATTAGGTATTATATTGATAATATTGATAAGATTGATGATAAGATAATATTATTCTGTAAAATAAAGCAAAGACTTATTGTTGTGTAAATAGTTTGCAGAATATGACACCCCGGGAGGACGTTCGTTGTAGTCGGCATATCTCACTGAATGACGATGATTCTCCAGTTGATAACATCCTAGGTATAGATATGACACATACTTGCACCTCCTCGACATGCCTCGTTGTCAGCGTTAAACAAATGGGACTTAAATTGCTATCCACTGCAGTTGTCAATTAGCTTTCGTGAGGTGCAGTATCAAAGCTATTATCTGGAAAGTCAAAATAGGGTGATCTGAAATGGGAAAATACACCGAAGAAGAGAGCATACACAATTCGACGACCGAAATTCCAAGTACGCCGAATAGCGGAGTGACACCATCCAGTGAGTCACAGGGTGTTCATGAGAATGAGAAGGTTAATAATTGAGTCCAATAAGTGTGATTGTAGGTTTACCATAGTAAATGAAATATCACAAAAGTTAGGCATCTGAATGCTTCGTCGTATCAATGCTTTTAAGTAGACTGGTGTTGATGTTGGTTAGTGAAAACGCTACATCCAAATTCAATGAGATTCCTTATTTTGAGTCGTAACTTAAATATGTACAGGGTGATCCAGAGTAGCTAATAGTGAAAAAACCGAATTAATTCATCTATCCACCCATCTTTCAAATACAAATTCCACCAAAAGTACTCATAGATGAATTCTGATGTGGTTTAAGGCGTGGCTGGAAAGCGCCAAGACACCGTCACTCAATGTGTACTCTTCTTCTTTTTGAAATATTCTTCAATCATCATCATTAGTATACACATACATTCAAACAACTAGCGAATCACGAAAGAAATATTAATAAATGATAAAATTCATTTGAATTGGTCGCGTCGCGTGGCGTGTCGTGTCTACTGTGGCTAACTTTGTGTATTTCAGAAAATCGGTGCATTACAAGCAATGAGTGATCAGATGACAGCGGTTTAAGGTATCGCTTGATGCATTTTGACCCTAGTCAGAAACTGACCACTTTCTGGGGATTGCTAAAACATGAGCAGATTAGCTCTTCAAATGAGTACCATTGAACTGGATTTTGAATTCTCATTTAATTTTAGGTGGGTCTTATTCGCTTTAGGGCGAAACCGAACTTGTTGTCAGTGGGAACCTCAACCTGAGGTAGGTTTTAAAAACAAACGTTCGAACTGGCGTTTGTCAGAAAACAAGCAGACCCAATCTTGATACCCGATCCAGATTGGAACTGTACACTTAGAAAAAATCATGTAAATTTAGGTTCATTGAGACTGACATATATGAGCGTCAATTTTGACATCAAATTGCGTCATAATTCAGCTTAATCAAACGTACGGAGCACTTAATTTTACATGACATAATTATAAAGAGGGAGAGAGAGAGAAGGATTAGTAATTTCCATATAATTCCCCGAATAGAAATTTACATTAGCCCAACGTTTGATTGTGATGCCTACATCAGCATCGAAATCAAATGTATGCCTGATGTCAAACATTAGAAAACATTATGATTTAGTTGTATTTAAGCAACGTAACATGGTGTATACATCAGAAATTTTGGAACAAAATTTTGCCATTCTAATGTCGGTCTGATGTCAAAACTTTCAATCTTTTGACATTAGAACCAAACGTTTTAAGGATGTTGTTTGCTTTTCCTTGACAGATACGCTTATTTCGTCTACAATGTGCAGACTTCTTTAGTGTCTTGTACTAATACTAGACAGTCGAGTACTAGTACAAGACACTGAAGAAGTCTGCACATTGTAGATGAAATACGCGTATCTGTCAAAGGTAAGCCAATTAGGTAGTGGAATTAAATGGAATGTACTAATCCTTCTCTCTCCCTCTTTATACAGGGACGCCCACATTCATCAGGATTAAAAGACATGCTTGTTTACGTCTCATCCTGTATGTCAAAGATGGATTCCGTCACATGTAGAATTAGGTATTTCTTAGTGTGTGAATAATAAACAAATTCGTTATTAGTCTCATGAGGGTACACACTTAAGGCCCAAGCGCAATGTGGGCGGAAGCGGAACGGAAACGGAAAGTTTGACAGTTGTCACAAATGACATCAAAAAGCCTAGCCGAAGTCGTTTTGGTACTAACTAGTTTTCAATCCGACAAGTAGGCTTACTCAGATCGGGATTTTCGGCTGCCGCTGTCATTGCGCTTGAGCCTTTAAAAAAACTATTTTTACACGAGACGTAATCCATCTTTGACGTAAATTATGGAACGTAAACAAACATGTCATGTACAATTAAGTGTTCCCAAACTGAAACATACGCAACTAGACGAAAAGTACGATTGATTGAATTTATTTTCTCGTTTCTTTCAACTGATTATTATGTGATTTGGGCCGCTTGCATGTGTCGGCCTCAGGAAACGGAAATTTACATGACTTTTTGGTAGTGTGTAGGCATGGCAGAAAAAGAGAAAAGTAAAGCTTTGACTTAACTTCACAAAATACCTAATCTTACTCGTGACGGAATCCATATTTGACCTAAAGGATGAGACGTAAACAAACATTTCATGTAAAATTAAGTGCTCCGAGACTGAAAAGATACGTTTGATTGAGCTGAATTTCGCATCTATTATGGCACAATTTTATGTCAAAATTGACGCTAGTATATGTCAGTCTCGAAACACCTAAATTTACATCAATTTTTCTAAGTGTGCAGTTTTCAATACGTTCTTCCCCGTTTTGTTTTGGCTTTCCTCTTTAAAACTGAGGACGGCTGTTGGGATGCCATTATAAAAAAAAAAATACAATAAACGCTAGATAACCCGAATCATAGAACTATTCCACAAATGGTTTGGATGATACCCGGAAAACATCGTTAAGCAAAATAACCATAACAATTTTATTAGGGTGACCTTTTCAATGTACTTAAGGTGAAGGTGAACTAAGGGGTAGACACCTGAGCTTTTCCACATTTATATCGCTGTGAAGCAACTGTAAACTCTAGAGGGAATCTATATCTGTAACTGTAACCAGTCCGATTTTGTTTGCTAACTTGGTTAAAATGGCATATTTAATTACCTTAAAGATAAATCGTCTAGCTCAAACCTTTGTAGGGGCAAGAGGTGGGACCATCATCATCATCATCATACAATCCAGAAGCCCGAATTCTGATGCCACTTGGCATTTTTCAGGGGACAATATCTGGTACCGGAAAACGTTCAATTTAACTGTAAATTCCATGCCTGAATCGCAACAGTGCTCGAGATTAACAACCTAGGAAACTCTAAGTGTCAGTTCAAGTGCCTATGGTTTGTGGACGCTGTATTGTATCACCTTAAAAATGAGAAAACCACATTTTGTTCCTCTTTTAGGCTTGATTGAACCCGTTGATGCGATTTTAGGGATGAAGGATTGGTAACAAAATATATTGAAAAATCTGCGTTAACATTCGATAAAACAAATTAATAAATATTTGATAAAAATTTATCAATACAAAAAAATGAGAATTCAATAACTGGATTATCTATTGACACACCCCTTGGTTAAAAAATATGAAAAGTTAGCATCTGAAGAGAGAACAAGTATTCGGATTCGGAATCAGCTTTACTACACTTTTAGATAAACATTTCAAAAGGTCCTATCTGCATTGATCGATTCTCTTCATCGATTTTCATCGGTAAGTTGTCCTAAAATTGATGCTCTTTGGAACTGTTTTCAGATTCACAGTTGATTAGAGTTTTCTTTATTACATTAATATCCAATTTTCTTTGACATTACTATCGCTATTCTCTTGGAATTAATGTCAGGAGTTTTCTGGAGTTTTTATCAGAGTTTTTACAGAATAGTGGTAAGAAGTCCCTTGGAATTGTCATTTGAATTGACCGCAGAGTTTCAGTGAAATTAGGATCAGAATTTTGTTTGTAATACTCCTAGCTATCCCCTTACAATCCTAATGAAATTCTCATCATAATTTTTTTTTAATTACCTTGAAGTTATCCGCAAAACAAAAACATTTATGAATTCAGTGGGAGTCATCTGCCCTTGCAATTACGACAGTTGACTGAAAGTGAATGAAATAGACGTCTTGAAAAAAATCTAGGCAGAAGCCCTTTGAATTCGCCCTGTACCTTGTTGCCATGGTTAGGAGCCGTTTTCACCACCCCCTAACTACGCCGTACAGTGGAGCAGTGATGCCGGTAGCGTGGCATAAAACCTCTAGCACCATGATCGCATCATTAGATTCCTTGGACAATTCTACGATAATTTAGTGCATATAGGTTTATACATTATAGTACCAAGTCAAATTTCCCCTGGATTTATATAGGTGTTTTGAGGGGAGCTCGGGCAACACAGATCATTTCCTGACCAAGAAGGGATCATCACCATTCGATTCTCCGGACATTTTTACATGAGTATAGTGCAAGCAACCGGTGGAAACTAACGATTTTAAATTGGCTAACTACTTGACTAGCCTATTGGTCCCAAGCAAATCGATTAACGAACCCCATTCTAGTCGAAATTCTAGTACTACAAAATGTTTGTTTTGATTCGCTATGAAAGTTTGACAGATAAAATGAGGGGTTCGTGTATTTTCCTATGTTTCGAGAGGTGCATCGATTAGCTTGGAAGAGAGTACCAGAACTGAGCCAAAAAGTTGACCACGTTTCTTCAGAACCTTCTGGTCTTAGACTTATCTCTATGGGCAAGTGCGTGTAATATTATTGACGCCAATCTATAAAACCACATGATAGGGGAAATGGATGTAATGTCGGCCTGAATGCCCCTAATGTAACTAAATTGTCAATAGCGACCAAAAATATTCATCAGTACCGTCCCAATGACGCGTTCATCTAGATAGAATTGATAAATAGTAGATTTTTAGCGATGGGCCCAATCTTAGATCTATAGGCCAACATTAGAGCCATTCCCCCTATATGAGTTTGTTTAAGTTTGAGGAGAAAATAAGGTGAAATGGGGGTTTACAGTGGTCGCCACATAGCGAACTTCACAGCATTCGATTCTTTGGATAATAGTACAATAGTTAAGTCCATATAGTTTAATATTTTGTCCGTCAAATTCTTCTTTCCGAGTGTTTTATCTTGTTTTTATAGGACAAGAGGATATCGGGTAAAATGAACCATTTATTGACGTCCAATCACAGTAATACTAGCTCCATTCAACTCCACAGCATTTTTACAAGGAAAAAGTTCACGTTGGCTCAATCTAAGTGCTCCAAGTTCAGTTCCTGGATGATAAATATATATTTGTTTTTTTTTTCAAAATTAGGGGTAAATCGGGTATAACGGACCAATTCCCGAAGTCAACCCTAATCGGAACTATCACCAATAGATTCTCCGATTTTTTTTTCACATAAGATAGGCTATTTTTCAGGACTCCTACCGTGCGCCGTCTAATTAAGAGGAATTTTGGGATGG